TGAATTTGAAGAATGTAAATGCAATCGAAGTTAGAATAAGATTTTCACTATTTTTAAATTTAATATGTTGCAAATAAATCAAATCTTTTGAAACAGATTGCATTCATGTCTAATGGCAAAGATGTAATGTAACTGTCCTTCTCTAATGAAAAGAATGTATTTTTTAAAATTTAATTCAAAGCAATATAAACGATTTCAAATTGACTGAATTTATCAGTTATTGTTTAAACATTAAACTGCATTATAATATTATAATAATTGTTTTACTGGAAAATATCTAGATTATATAGAGAATAATCGATTTTCTCTTAGATTAAATAGAACTATAAAAAGACAACAGATTACTTGAAACTAATTTACTAGTAACACATTTTTGTGTCAGTAAAACAATTTCGATATCCCACATCTTTTGTTGATATGGTTATATAATTAAACTCTGAATATAACTAGGAGAAAGCATTATTGTCAGATAAAATTACATTGCTTGCATTTGTAAATTAACTGCTTGAAAAATAAGGAATTTCAATTGTTGATTCAATTTTAGAAAGGAAATAAAAACAATCGAGATAATATTAAAAAAGTTTAATAAAAAGTTGTTCTCGAGATGAGTGAAAAGTAGAATTTCTATGTAAAAATGTAGATATGAATAGAAAAATTTAAAAAAAGAGTGTGTTTTATGTAACTAAAAATGTTTACAAAGCTCCGTTATTGTTTCTTCTAATAAACAAGAAGTATTCTTAGTGTTAAAATACTCTATTACAGCTTTTAGTTAAGTTAAACATCTAATTACAAGCAGTTTTCTACTTCAAAATGCTTCTGAAACTGCTTCTTGTCTGATTGTTTGCTATTATATGTTACGGCATTAATAAGCCTGATATTAAATATCAGACTAATTAAATCTAAGTAAGAAAAACGTTCTTTTATAGTAAGTATAATAATGTTAATTATTACTTATAAATATCCAATATTCTGTGATTTATCTTATGGATGGTGAGGCACTTGCTCCGAAATACATTCCATAATAAAGTATATATTAATACATAGGAAAGGAAAAAAAGTTTAATTTCCTTTCGATCTACGTGTCTCCTTGTCTCGATGTAATAAGTCTGATATGAAGAATGTCTTAAAGCCATAATACATGTAATAGTTTTCTACTTATTTAAAATCAGTTCTATCGGTTTCTTGATATTACATAAAGAAATTTTATTAGTGTTCATATTGCTTTGATGTCGAAAACGAGTTTCAAAATAGCACAAAATACTTTACAACTTTATATTATTATTACTCTAACTTCTGTTGTTTACAACAGAGTGTAAAGGTCATAAGATGATAAATAAAATGTCTGAAGTTCTTTAAAAGTCGTAGAATAATTCATGAAAATGTAAATGAATTCTTATTAAAGAAACATTTTAAGAACTGCTTGAAAGAGAGATAAAAACAAACTTGTTGGAGAATAAATTTATTAAATTTTATAAATTCTAGCTATTTTTGCATATGCAAAGATAATGATTATAAAAAGTTATAAAACGACGTTGAATCTATCGAATAACTTAGAGAAATTTCCTAAAATTCTAGCATTGAAATTATAGTTTATTTAAGCTACTTTTATTAAATTATAATCTAATAAAAAATAATAAGATTTAAAAAACATGAATAAAAGCGTAATAAACAGCTAACACGTGGTCAAAGACATTCATCGACTTCTTAAAATAATAATCTTATAATAAAGATTAATTTAATAAACAAAATATAAGATTTCACTCTGTATGAAATCTTAAATTGCATATAAATGTAAATAAATTTATTATTTATAAATACATAATTAATTAAGATATTTAAATTTATTTATTAGAAGTTAAAAGACATTTGACTCATTAATTTCTTTAAAAATAACTATAAAATTTGATTATATTTTTCTATTATTTACCAATTTTTAAATATTTTTGAAAAATTTGATAGAAATAATCGATAAATTAACGATTAATAAAAGAAAATAATCAAATTATCAAACTCATTTAAATTCTCGAACAGTTGTTGCTATTAGAAAATAACCTTGTTATAAAAATACAAGAAAAGCAACATTAATTAGCCATTAATAGAATCGAAAGTGTTGATGTTTTTGCATAAAACAAAGATGTTGACGTCCTTTATAGTATAATTACTAGATAAGAGTGGTAAGAGTATACTCCTGCCAGTCATTTGCATTTATCAGTGTCGGAAACCGACAATATGGAATGATGCTGCGCTAGACTTCGGTCGCATGGCCTAAAGCAGTTATGTAGGAGATGTGCAATATAAATGCTATTTTCTGAATTGATTCTGAATTTACAGATCAAATTTGTCATCTAATATATACCTGGCAGGAAATTTCCTAGGGAAATGGTGTTTTGCTATTATTACACCGATACGTTTTAACATATTCCACACTTCTCTACACTAAGTATTTCTACAATAAATATCTCGCTAATTACAATAGACCAAATGGTCTAAAAATCGGAATATTTTAATGTATTTTAACACTTAATTAATTAATTAAATTTTCTCGTTTTTTAAATAATTAATTTTTTTATTTAATAAAAACGATAGATTATTTAAATTTATTTATTTTTACTTGTAAAAATACAAAAACATTTCTTTAAAGAATTTAATTTTTGTTATAGAATAAGATGAAATTTTGTGAAGGGGGAAAAAAAATCAAATTTACTTTTTCAAATGGAAACTTGCCATTGAATTCACTTGCCAGAAACTCGTCATCAGTGCAAAAGTTTATGTAATGTGCGAGATTTTCAAAATATTTTTCTATATATTTTAAATAAATCTGTTAAAAACTATAATATATTTTTTTAAATTTGTTTTTAATTAATAAAACTCGTTATTAAAAATTAGGCCGTTTAAAAAATTTAAAATATTAATTAGATAATATTTTGTAATGACGTGGCCGTCGAACACCGTTAATATGACGATGACACAGAGGAAAAAATTTCTATTTTTGATTAATAAAATTGAGATGGAAAAAGTATCGATTATTCTTATCCTATTATTATTCTCGATAATTTATTGATTGCCACATTTATTCGGAAGTTATGAGGACTTTTTAAATTGGAAAAGTTTCGCGCTCTGGGACAAATATCGATTAGTTACACCTTTTGGAAAATTACCTGTTATACCTGAATGAAATCAGTTACATGACAAGATGACTTCGTCCTGTTGCCATGGTGACGATATGCACTCGGAGACATTTTTGTTCGGGATCTTCATCCCGTTTAACTTTAATTATATTTGGGATGTAAGTTTTACAACTTTTCTTTTTTATATTCTTAGGTAATAAACTATATTCGGAATTTATCGAATAGATCAAGGAAAATAGAAAAAAAAACACCGAAAAAAGTATTTTTTAATAATTAAATATACATTATTATATACATATATAATATAGATGCATATGTTTGGCTTTAATTTCACAGTGATGTTTGCTCTTATTGGCAAATATACAGATATAACACATAATAAATAGTAGGAGATGCAAAATCTCCATATTTTTTCTTTAAAATCGGGATCACAGTTCATGTGTTTGACATTCATTACAATTTAATATTTAACTTAATATTGATATGCTTTTAAATATAATTTTAAAAATTTACATTGTATATTTGTGGATAATCGTTTTCTGCTTTACATACAATTTTAATTTCTATAAATTAATGTTAAAATATTTCTTGTTTTTGTATGAAGTATAAATTTTATTACCCCAATTTTACTATTAAAAATTAGCCAATCTGTGTCAAATTCTGTTATTCTTAACGTGTTAATTATAAAATTAATTAATATATATGTGATGTAATCAATTTTATACCCAGTTATCTAAACCAGACAAATAAAAATACTTGGCCTATGTCAAACTGGCACAAAAAGAAAGAACTAATAAAACTGTTTACGAGAGAACAACTGATCAAATTTATCTTTTCCAAAAATAAAAAAAAGGAAATATTGTCAGAAGTTAACCAGGAAATAAAATAAATATTAGAAGAAGTAAACGATTAAATATTTATTTCATTTATTTTAATTAATATTACTGATTTAAATCGTTTATTCGATAAATGTATTGTAAATATGTAGTTACTTGTGTAGATCTTTTTTCATATAAAAGTTTAAAACTTTAAAAAATTTTTTAATATAATCTCATATATATTCTTCCAGTAAAAATGTTAAGTTACTTTCTTGATTATTTGAGGACTCAAATTACATGTAAGAACGTATAAGTAATAACTAAGTAGATTAAGTTAATAAATTTCTAGTGTTTCTGCAAACTTTATTCATTTTAAGTTTTAAATAACAAGATTAAAGAAATAAATTATTATTTTCGGCAAGGATTATTGCTTTTTCTCTTTTTTCTTCTTAAATTAATAATGTAAAACACCGACATATTTTTAGAGATAATCGATATTTTTCTAAAGAAAATTAAAATAAATTCAAATTTTGCATTATAAATTTAATATATTCGCACTTATTTAAAAAAGAAAACACAATTTAAAAATAAATTAACGAGATTTAATAAAAGTTTTAAGTATTCAAAAGGTAGAATAGTCTGATATTTTATGGACGTGATAAAATTTATTTTTGTTTTTGATACATTTTTAAAAAATTTAAAATCATTATAAAAGTAATAAAATATAAACAGCACGACGTTGTTGTACTGTTTATATTTCATTACTTCTCTATTGCCTATTAATATTGCAAGATGTTAATAATAAATTAGGGAATAAAAAAGTAACAAAAATAAATTTTTAAAAACGTAAAAATCCAATTTTTGAATTGTTTAATAATAAAGCCATGTGTTTATTTTTTTTATCAATTACAGAATTATCTATCCAAAATCGTCAAATTATAAATTTTTATTATTATTCTTTAAAAAAATTTAAGATAAAAAACTTTAAAAAGCCATAAGATAAATGTAAAATAAAAGATTTAGAGCTAATTTATATTTTAAAAGGTTTAAATTTTTGTTATTAAGAATGCATTACAAATTTGAAATGTAACATTTACTTGTTATAAATATGAAGCATGTACTTAATTATAAGTACAGTGCTGTTATATTGATATGTAATACTGTAATATTTATCTTTTCTATATCATGTGTCAGTAAAGAATAGTCCAATAACATCAACACCAAATTATAACATAGAGTAATATCCCTGTAACAAATTAATATTAATAGACATAACAGCAATATGTATTAAAGGAATGATTTATAAAGTGCGTAACACTTAACATTTTAATATAACAACGTTTTTGATTATCAAATCGAATTGCACGTAAGCAGTAAACGCTATCCTTATCTCAAAAATCTTAAAATATCATTTTACACCGTAAATTACAATTTTTAATTTTCTTTTTTTAAATTTAGAAAACCCGTATCAGGAGATACCATTGTGATAAAAATAGTCGATTGTCTTCTCGATAATAACCATTGTGTGGTCGTGTCGATTATTCTCAAACACATCACGAAACATTAAAGCGTTAATTTTACCAGGCAACAAAAATAATTTTTTTCACTCATCACAAAATACATTATTGATGCATAGTTGAACATTTTTGTGCAATCATTTTACATATAAAAATTTACGTTCCATACAATACGATGTCAAATGAAATTTTTGATTGGTTTATACATTTACACAGTTAAATGAAAAATAGAGATGATAATGATTCAGCTATGTAATTCTAATTTTTCTACCAGAAAGTAAGTAGTAAGATTTCCTTTCCCTTTTACATACACAGAACCGCGACACTCGCAGTCGTATCCATTTTCTATCAATACTTTGGCCGTATCCTCGGTCATCTAAAATATAACGAAACTTCGATCTCAGCCAAACGTTTGTAATTAATTTAAAATTAGTTTGTTTATGCTAGAAATTGAAAATTGTATATCGTCTGACCTGTATTCGTCCGATAACACCACAGCTATCCATTCTACTCGCAACATTGACCGTGTTCCCCCATATGTCGTATTGTGGTTTCTGTGCACCAACGACTCCTGCAATCACCGGTCCGTGATTAATTCCTAGAATTAAATAATCATTATTCTGTTAAATTACAGTATATAATCTCATTAGGCAACTGTAATAAATATTTTTTCGGTACATTAATAAAGTTAGATTAAGTCTTTCTCGTAATCCGAAAAAATATAACTCACCGATCCTTAGTCTAAATCTCTGAAAAGATTCTCTGTTGATTTGTTCCAGGACACTTACAAGGGCTAAAGCGAATTCGACTAAAGAAATGACACTATGACTCTCTCTTGGTTTATCCTGGAAAATAACACATTTATCTCAAATGGAAGTAATCCTATCAATCTCACTTAACGATCCGAAGTGAACACCTACTCCTCCATCTTTTCCTGGCTGAAGACCAGCCGCTGCCATATAAGTACTACCAATTGTTTTAATTTTCTCGATGCAACTGAACTTCGGCTTCAATAAAAGCTTAATAAAATGAACAGAAGTACGTTTTAAATATTTAAAAAATTAATTATAATACACAGATTTTAATAAAGATTTACCTTATCGAAGTCGCAGATTATTTCGTTCAGCAATCTCAAACATTCGAGTCCTTGTTTGTTAATATCGTTTTCGTCGTAAAACTCTTTATAATTGGGAATAGAAGCAAACATAACAGCCACACTGCTGTACGTTTCGTGATATAAATCCTGTCAAATAAATATGAAGATCATTTGCTACATAAAACTCCATCGAAATGTAATAAGTTAATAGTAATTAACAAATTATTAACGCACAGCCATTTGACGATTTGTGATTAAGAAATGTTCAGCAACATGTTCGGGGAGAAAATTTTCTAGCAAAATCTTATTAATGCTTCCCATGGTTTCGACTTCATCTTGCTCTACTTTCAGTTTATTTCTCCAAAGAAAATCGGTTCTGCTTGTATATTCAATCTGAAAAGTTTTGCGACAAATATGAAAGTTATAGGAATTTTATTCAAAAAGCGATGCAATCATTCGGAGTATAAATTTAAAAAGTAGAAAAACGTAATAACTATGATTTATTACCTGCCTATCTAATACATGAAAGATTACGGTAATCATCACCAAAAAAAGCACCGTGTGTACGGACATGGGAACATTAACCAAACTAGAAGGAGAAACTATCTCAAAATCCTTTTAATATTTGAGTAAATCAATAAAAACGACAATTTAACCTTAAAATCTCTCACCCTTCACCTTCTTCCAAAAATCCTGAGAAAAGATCGGGTCGAATGACATGAAAGGCGAGAGCAAAAGTCACTACGCCGGCAGACATGATTACCAATTTTAACAAGAAGTTGACTCGAAGGAAGACAGACACTCCGGTCAGATATAGAACAGCAGGAAATACATGAGGCTATAAAGAAAAAGAAGAGAAACTTTTTCACGAAAAGTATATCGAATACGTTAAAAAAATGATAAAAATCTACCTGGGTATAGTTGCAATTATCTGAAGGAATTTGGGAAGTTTCTTCTAAGACATGGATTGACTCTCTGGAATCGATATCGCACGTCGTCTGTACGTATCCGTGTTTGATGTAATAAATTAAATTAATTCATTTTGATTAGCTTGATTGCTTTTCCATAATTTATTATTATGCTAACAAGATTTGAAACAAACATATCATATCAAAACTTTTTCTTAATTTTAAACTAATTTATCTTTAGAATTGTTTGCGTTCTATCAATATTTTGACATATTGGAGAGCCTGGGTTTAGCGGACACTCTCGGGATCAAGACTAATGTCTTAAGTAACATATCCGTTAAAAATTTCTGTACATTTTACATTTGGAAATGTTTTAAATAATCAATATGATTTTGTTTTGTGTAAACATTGTGTGATTAAATATCTTTTTGTACTAAATTTAACAATTAAATAATTAAGATAAACCTAGAAGAAATGTGGCATGGAATGAGACTTGAAACCCTAACTACTGCAATGCTAAGCACGCCACATTACGATTAGGCTATCTAAGCTTCTCGACAGAATGCTTGCTAATTTTCTCCACACATGATCATTTGATTCATTCTGCATGTTTTATTCATTCCTTGTCCAAAATTCTCTAAGTCTCTCAATGCCTTGTTTTCATTATGCAAGGGAGAAATGCTCAATCTACTAATCTACCAATGTCCGATGCAGAAAGTATCAGAGTAGTATTTAAAAATTGAACGGTGGAAAATTTGTTTGGCAAGTTTGAAGGCACAAAGAAATCCTATAAAGCTACGGCATCAAAGATAAGCAGTGTATTTTTAAAATAATATTTATGAGAAACTTGTAATCTTGAGAGTTTTGGGTAAGAGGAAGAGATAAAAATTTTTTGCGTTTTTCGAAAAAGACAGTGTCCGTTTAATCAATGTTAAAATATACAAATAATTTTATTACTGTGACTGGACTGGAGTTTTTCCCGCTAAATACAGTGTCCACTAAATCCAGATTTTACTGTATTTTTGATAAAACATTTAGTTTCAAATAACTTAAGTAATTACAAAAGTTCTCAAATATATAAAAAATAAGACTTTTTTTTAAAACTCTAGAAATATATAAAATAATTTACCAAATTTACAAAGACAGTAGCTAAAACAAATAAATTCGAAATAATGAAAAAAGCCATCCTTAAAATGCAACTGGAAGCGATTTTTGGCCAGCATCTGTCAGATGTCTCGGAGGTATTCAAACTCTGTAAAAATATTTTAAAATAATTATTCATTTTATTTGATAATTTGATATGGAATCGATAGAAAATGGTCTATTACTTGGTATTTCTGAACGGCACAAGCTGTTGTCAGTATTCCCATTACAACTAATGTAGAAGCTAACGAACCAATTAATGTCACGGACCTGTCCGAAAAATGTATTACCGTAAACAATAAAAGCTAGATAAATAACTACAAGACATAAAACATGTACTTACAATGGAAATAGTATCAACTGAATTATGCCACTCATTAGGAAAAGTGCAAATGAACACGTCATATACCAAGCATATTGATCTTGAGGTTGGTTGTTATATTGATTTTCGATAGAAGCTTGTTTGAAAAACAGAAAAACTGGATTAAGATCATCGTCAGACTTGCACTTTCTGAAAAAAAATATCGATTTCTGTTATTAAATCCTTTATTATAACCGTTCCGATAATTATCGTAGAATATTACCTGCAATTCAGTACTGAACCAGATCCAGGTAGCAGATTGTTTTCAATCAGAGCGATGCTCTAAATTTGAAAGTTTTACATCAAATTATTGTATTAATTTTAATAAAGTATAAAAATTCTTTCAAGTTTTTATATTACAACAGAATAGGAAGACTTTAAAAATGCGTTGACTGTTAAATAAATAACAAATTATTCTTTAATAAGCACATTTTTAATTTTCTTAATTATCAAGAAGTTACTTCTGACGCTATTTTAATAATTCAATATTAGTCTAAACTTCAAGAAATTATTAATATAAAGCACTACCTTTTAATTTTTAACAAAAAGAAGTATCATTGATACATCATTATATATCATTTGGCCATCTTTTTTGAATTATTATATTTGTAAATAATAGAACATAGTATCTGAAAATTTTATAAATATATATAAAAAATTCATAATATAAACACGTCTGTTATAAAAATTCTTAAGTGTTAGACTAGTTTAGGAAGGAAAGAATCTTTAGATAAAAAATTAACTGTTTCTGCTTGTTGAACAATTAAGTGGCCTCTCTGTCTGTAATCTTTCTAAACGGCAAGTTATATAAAGGACAGAGATCGATCCCAGGAAAGGGGAGTAGATGAAACAGCTGATACTACACTCAAGGGAAATCATTTATTTTGAAATCAAACGTCTTCTTCTGATAAAATAGCATTTCGTAGTCAAGAAAAACCTTTGATTTGGTTTCATGCGGAGTAAAGAATACATTTTTGTCATTTAAATTGATTTGTGACGTTTTCACTGATTAATTTTATGTAAAATGTAATTATGATACAAATCTATCAAGTAATTCATTTGATAGATTTGTATCATAATTACATTTTATTAAGTGCTAAATTGCGGGTAAATGAATAAGAATTTGTTTACTATTAGAATATTTTTAGAAAAATTATAATTACTTACTATCAATTGTTAATTGTTTATCATTTCAATAAAATGTTACAGCTGTCAACTGTCTATCATGTTCTAATGTTGTTACATATTAGGAAAATGTTTAACAAATATACAGCAATTATTTTTTGATATTTGATATATTATTATTTTGTACAGCAGCAAGTAAAAATTCGCATTAATATTGTACTGCAATACAAATTTTAATATTATAAAATTATATAATTATATAAAACTCACCGTTATTCGAATATTTTTGGCTAGAGTACTTTCGGAAATATTAGCGAAAGGTTTATCGGCTCCCCAGCATTCGAAGTATTTATGCATCTTAGAAGTAGATCTCAATCGTGATGATCCAGCCGAAGAATTAACTATTATTTGGTCCGTTTCCTCTTGTGACTTCTATCAAAGGAATCAATATAGTCATCGATATTTAAGAAAGCCTAAGGTTAAATTAAGATTATTACCCGAGGCTGTTTGATCAAATAAGTTTCGACTTGATGATCAGAAAGGTATCGATCTCTTTGATAACCATCTCCAGCTTCTATGTCAAATTTTCCATCTAGTTGTTCCAATGTCGCTTTGGTTATGTGCACTCGCCTATAAGTAAATTTAATGCTGTTAAAATTCAATATAAAGAATAAATGGACCTAAATAAAGGCAAGGTTTGTATGCGTTTTTATAGCATTTTGAGAGAAATTTATAAATGTTTATATTTGGAGTAAAGATGAAATATTCATGAGATATAAATATATCGTAGGTTTACTAAAGCGTGTTGTCCATTTAGCGATATAGAGGTATTCAAAGTATCGTCACGTACGAAACGTGATGAAATAACTATTTCAACAGAAAGATTATTTTTAATACTTTTTGGTTAAAAATTAAAATTGCCTTTTCATTTATTTATTTTTTAATCTTTATTTTCGTATAGCTATTTATTATTTATAAAAACATTTAGTGAAGATATATTATTTAATATAAAAATAGAAATTTTATAGAAGAGATTCTAATGTAAATATCATGTAATCGTAAACAAACTAATAACGTATTTAAAGTGACTTAAAAACCAATTGAATAGAATTATAAATTTTAAACGAATGTATGGAAAAATAGTCTTTTAAACTGGCTTTAAAACTATTTAAAATATCTTTGTGTTATATGTGTATATAGATATATTTGCTTTATTTAAAGTAAAGATATGTTCACAAGAACTCAATTAAAACTATAAAGAGAATTAATCAATTTTTTTTTTAAACTTGCTATCGTTTCCATCAAGTAAATAAATACAACCGAATAAACACAAATCAAAGAAATCGAGTCAATTGTGTATATCGGTTATAAGTAAACGATTTGTTCAGGCAATAAAATAACAGAATTGATACAATTTACTAAAAAACTCATGTTTGGAGAATGTGCTGGCAATGGTATCTGTCAGATTCCATCGCTTGAAATATTGACAAAAACTATCCATATCGAGTTTTGCCGTAGGATAACGTCTAGCTCTGAAATTCCAATAAATTGGTATGTGATTTATATCAATACATTCCTGAATAAATTTTGTTATTTTAATAAGTAAATACTGAAGCCGTATTAGCTTACTTCTTAAGTGTCAAGAATTCTTTTTGTGTATTTTAAAAATCATTATTAACATAATATTTATTCATGAAGTATCTTACTTGTTAGACATATGATTTTATTATTTCGAGATAATAAAACAAAAAGAAATGTTTAAAATCCTATGCATAAAATTCGAAAAAGATATTATTCTTTGAAACGAAAATTAAACTATTTATTATGCCAATACATGTCTGTCAGACTTAGATACAAAAAATGGAGTGCCCAAATGATGAATAAAATGATCTCGTATGACAATGAAATATTTTATTTATTTTTCTGTTTAGTTAAATAAGAAATATTATGTATTTTAAGAAAATTAACTTAAATGAAAAATTTATTTCCAGATTTACTTCATTACAGAGTTACAATTAATTAGTAAGACTGGAAGTAATGCATTTGTAGCAGAAACGTTACCTATATAATATAATGTCTCGTTGTTTTGATTTAAAGAGTTAATTTTAAATAACGGAATTAAATATGATTCATTATGACGGAAAATTCATTAAACAGGTATTAAAATCTATTGTTTTAATGATTTTTTTATGTGAAAATTTACCATTCTAATATATTCACATTTGCACTGACAGTAAAAACGAATGTTAGTTCAATCAAGAAAGAAATATGCTTCGTCTCCAATTTTCTAAATCATTCAAGCAAATATTTTAAATTTTTTGCTTACAAAAACTAAAATAGAATTTCCACAGAATTTTATGACATTGTTTTAGATTAATTTTTTAATATAAATCTTTTTAGTGACTATTGTGAATTTTCGGTTGTGTGAATATTAATAATTGGTTATATTATTAGACATCAAATTCATTTTTCGTATAATTCTAAAAGTTATATTTGGAAAAAAAATTATAAAATAAATTTAATAATGTAATGTTTTAAAATATTCACACAACATCATATATTATTTAAATATTAGAAAAATATTTACATAACATATCTTTCAAAATCCAACTAAATTATCAGTTCACTCATACGAAAATTGTAATAATCTGTTAACAAATCAATCAAAATAATTGACATTTTTAAGATTGAAAATTTTTAAATTCGTTACTTGTTAGCCTATATGATATAAAAAATAAAGTTATTCGTTCAAAAAGAAATACGATTTTATTTATTGATAAAAACATTTCATAAAAACCTGTAAAAATTTTTTAAACATTTATTTATGATTTTATCAGTCGAGACAGAAGCATTTGCCTGTATCTTGATTGATAAAATCATAAATAAAATTTCTATTGGATTAATTTTAAGGCTTTCTAGAATGAAATGAACTTAAAATATATATTTATTTACTTTAAACGGGTTTACTTTAATTAGGCAATTATAGCTTATCAATAAAATATAATGATATTCAACCGAATTCAGAAAAACTGTTATTTGCTAAAGAAGATGGTAGTAGACACCTACATTTATTTTACGTGTTATTTATAGATTAAATGATTGATTTTGTTAACACGAGGCGCCAGCTTACAATGGAATATAACGTCTGTTTCATTTGAATTTAGTTACTTTAGTTTTGACTATTTTGAATGAACTTGGTCACAATGAAAATGGACTTATATGGATAAGGAATAGGAAAATCTGACGTGTCTATGTATATCTATCACCGTATAGCCATTAATCCACAAATATATGTTACAGACTAATTATCATTTCTTCGTGAACACATCGGTTAAATGGCCGCGCAAGCAAATTATCAGTTTAAACCTTTAGAAAATCGGATTTGAACCGTTCCAGCTTTTCATAATCTTCGTAGATAATATAATCATACTGCCTAACTTTATTACGAATGAAGCCAATATAAAGAAATAAACTTCATCTATTTGGATTAGTTTCTGAGGATGGAGCATGACATAAACACTACAATATTTCGAAAATTATACGTACAAATCCAAATATTTTATTCGTAACAATTTTTTTAAAAAAGGAAAAAGTAATAAAATGTAAATTTAATATATATAAACATAATATATTTTAAGATTAATTTTAAAATATTTAAATTAAATTAAATTAGAGAATCAACGCTATTTTTAAATAATACATAGTAGCATTTAATTTGATTAAATGCGTTATTCAGTAAAAAGCCGATTTACTTACAATTACAATAAATTTTTCTAAATAAATTAAAACAGGTAAATTTTTTTCGCAATGAAATCAGTTTAGATTTAATTTATTCGTTTCTAATTAATAAATCATTTATATATATAAACGATTTATTAATTACTAAATTGAATTTTAATGAACATGCATATATTTAATATATTTAAATAGTTAATCATTTCAATTTTTACTAATATATATTTTGTTATATTTTCCATCTTAATAAATCTATATATATTTTAATATTTTTGACAAATTAATTTAATGGTTTACTTAAAGTGTTAATAAACAATGAATAATATAGTTTATTCATTAGTATTTTAAAGTAAAGTACTGAATTAAATATGTTATATTTTTTAATTAAAATTTCAAGTTCAGCAAAATGTTTTTTAATGTTTATAAAATTTGCTTGCTCCGAGAGTACTATATAAGTAGCTTAAGCCTATATATAAAATTTAAGATAGAGTTTTAAGGTGTTTATTGCTAAAGTTGAGGATTAATTTAGTCCTATTAAATTATAATATTTATTTGTTCGAAAAAATTTAAATGCATTGCTATTTTTTGTAACTTGTACAACTTTAAATGATGCGATTTTACAGACTATCAAAAACATAATTATTGTTAGTTTTACTTACCCGGGTACTCCACCCGCTTCCATGTGGTTAGCTAAAGTAACGTCATCAGACCACACATCAAATTGCCACTTTCTTAGTCCTAATACTCCACATAAAACGTTACCAGTATGAACTCCTATCCTCATATCAACATTTATCTCGGTAACTTCGCGAACAACTCTATATAATAAACATTATACAGCATCAAAATTCAAAATAATGAATGTTTAAATTTTTACTTAGAAATTTAAGATCGTATAATAATTCTATACTCTGCCATTCAAATATTTAAATAAATACTGATGATCAAAAATAAACATACTTAATAGCATCGATCATCTCTAATCCCATCTTAACACAATTGTAGGCATGATTGGGTCTTGAAACTGGTAATCCCGAAACACAATAGTAACAATCTCCTAAAATCTTTATTCTCATACACTGGTTCTCCTAAGGGGAAATTAAAAGAAAAAAAATTATAATCGAATGTTGACATAGCTTAAAGTGTTATTTCAAAATTTCTATTTCTGTTTCTAAATTACAGTTCTATACACGAACTTTTTCTTTTGATGATTTATTTATGTAATAAAAAGCAATATAAAAATGTAATTTTATTTTAAGAAATGAAGAGTCATTTTAGTTTGGATTCAAGACAACATTTTGACAATCGATTCCTCTTCCATTGAGCAGATAGGTTAGAACATATTCTTCTATTACAAGTAATATAATTTATTTTTGTGTGATGAATTCTCACACGTCTCAGTATCATTAGCAAAATATTCTCAATCTACAACTCTGGGAAATTTAGATGGTATTTGCAATAAACACGAATTCAACAATAACTATATTAGGAATATCTATCTACTTTCAGTATTTTGAAGAATTTAATACAGAAGATTATATGAATAAATTTTTTTTATGATTGATAGACAATTTTGTTCCGAAAATTAAAAAGCTAAAATAAGCTTTACTAATTAAGCATTTCTGAGAAATATTTTGACATTAGACATTTTCTCGGTATCAAAATCTGACAAGTAAAGATAGAATAATTTATGACAATACTCCAAGAGAAATCCTCGTTATATTTTCAAGATAAAACTTTATCTCTTGTCAGCGAAATATGCCAGTTATGAGGCATCATATCTAATTATAAACTTATTGGAATTGACGTACTATACATATTCAATTCTATCTTTATTAAAATAAATGAAATGATTCTTTAAATATTAATAAAGAAAATATAGAACAAAGAAACTATTTTTATTTTTTAATAAACACTCTATCCTTATTCTTTTATTTTAATTATGCTGTTTAAATATTTTTAGGATATTTAAATGATAAAATGAATTCAATTAAAAAACATGAAATCATAGATAAAGTATAATCTCGTTAGAATATTTGATTAAGATTTTACGATTTCTTTGCTGATTCGATTATTGAATTTAATTTTTCCATAATTCGTATTATGTACAGGTATAAAACGAAGCAGGCATTCTAGACGAAAATTATCATATTGAAATTGATTTACTTATTCAATTTTATTAGCTTATAATTAAAATTTCAAACGAAATTCGATTATTTTAAATCACCAGAGATTTGAAATATAACAAAAAACGTTAACTTTAAAAATATTATAAAATTTTCACTTAAGCTATTTCTGTTTAATTTCATTAATACAATGATTGCCGATATTAAATAATTTAAGAATATATTATTTATGGTGTGTAAACATCAATATAAATTTTCTTAAGGAATTTATCATTACAGCTAAAGATTTAATAGTCGGGTATGTTTCTAAAAATGTATATATAATCTATTATTTGTTAGAGAAAGCGAGAATAAATTTATGTTCTTCACATTAGAAAAGCGTTTAAAATTTGACACTAATTTCGACACTATCAAAATTATTTGGGTACATTTAATAATTAGGTTCATACATTCAATAATCGTTGTTTTGACAAGGATTGATCGTGTCTTTTAATGAAGAGTATGATGACGAGAAAATTCTCTTCAAAATAGGAATTTCGAAAGTAGATATCGATGTTGTAATACAATAATTAATTCCAGAAGATTCCAATTAGCAACTTCAACCTTGTTATCTGAATTACCTTTTCTCTAAATATAGTTTGTTTCTTTACATTTGTTAAGTTCAAGTATTTAATTATAGTGCTATTTAATATCAGATATTAAATAGAATCTAATTCAAATTACTTTAAAATAAGAAAACGCATTTTATAATTATGGAATAATCAATAAAGTAATTAAAGCAACTTCATTTGTAGCTAATGATTATATTCTGTTAAGTTAATACAGAAAATATAAATTAATAAAAGTTATGATCCTTTACTAATTTATAACTGAAAATTTAAATATGAAATTTTAATAATTAATTAAAGAATATACAATATACTGTTATCATTTTTAATAATATGAATAGAATGAATCATAGTTAATAAATATGCATAACATTTGTATTAAGCTTTATAATCTGAATTAATTAGTATTATAAATGTTTAGTGAAATGAAATTTCAAGTGTATTTAAATATGATTTTTAAATGTTTAAATTGAGATTTATAACTAAGGAAATTTTAAGGTAAATATTATTTTTTAAAAGCATTAATCTGTATACATTCCATTATAAAATTATATTGTTATCGATTTTACAGTAAGACATAGTATCTTTAAAATGTTAAGTTTTGTAAATCATCTGAGGGATCGACATTTTATACGCCTCATGTTCCCTACTTTAACTTTAGTAAATAAAAATGATCTCATAAACACTTATAAATTAATATTAATAGGAGCGTCATTATTTTAATAATGATTAATAGGATAAAGTTAGAAAGCAAAATTTAAAATTTCTTAAATATACTTGACTTTAATTTATTAAGGCAAAATAAATCAAAATATAATATTTATTCGTGTATAAAATCATTAGATATAGTTTTTGCATTTATAGTGTATATAACTTTATTATTCTTTATTTATCAGCACGTTAATTGTAAATATATACAGTTAAATTGATACTGCCAAAAAGTCACTCGCTGTTATCAAAAATAATTTACAATCAATCTATTTAATATCTTTCATAAAGCTTGAGATATAAAATAATTTTTGAATTTATTTCGTTACATGTTAATTTATATTTTCAACAAGAAACAATTAAAAAATAGATATCGATAATAACAAAATTTCATATTTATTTTTATAATTTTTCGTGGCTTTCAAAATAACTTAATTTTATGTACATTTTATACACTTTTAAGCAGAAATTTGAAAAAAAAATTATACATCTATAAATTCCCACTGTTGTCCGTCTGTCTGTCCTTCTTTAATCTCAAGAACAGTGTTAGATAGATGACCGACAGGATTGTTTTGCTAATAAAAAGTATTTTTAATGGATAACATTTACTTTATCAATTTTTAAATCTATACAGAAAATTTAGATCACTTCATAAAAAAGCTTTTAATTAATCAATTTTAAAATAGTTTAATTTAAACAGAAAACGATGAGATTCATTATAAAGCCATTGAATCTGCTATCAATATTTTAATTAAATTTTTTCCTCATTCTCGAAATAACTCAGATATTCTTATTTCCTATAAAATGAAGCAAAGAATTTTTTCATGAATTTATTTAAATTTTTTTAATATCACAAAATGTCGTAATTCTTCTATAATATTAATGCTAGTCTGTACTGCATGTTTTTAAAATCACTTGAGGGAAATTTATATTTTACAGATATAAATTATAAACAAGACAATATTATTCTGCCAATATAAATTTTATAATTTATGGTTTTCTGAATAACTGAAAGAAAATTATACAGTCTATATATATATTGCAGGTATATAGTATCTAAATATAAAATAAATAGGAATAACAAATCCATTTGTAATGATTTTAACAGTTATCTTATTTAAATCAATGATAATTTTGCTTATAATTATGACAGATGTTTGCCTTTCAAAAAGTTCTGAATTTATGTTTTTGATATACGTATTTTTCAATCGAATCGACTATTAGTATTAAAATATTAAAACTGACGATACAGATGTTCATTCTGAAATAAACTATCTGTCAAATGTCAAGAAGATATTCCATAGTAATTCTAACGATTTTGCTACTGAATATTTAGTATTTCAATTACGTTAAAAGAGCGAGATATTGATATTATATTATATGTCAAATAAACAAAGAATTATATTGATATAATATAATTCTTTGTTTATTTGACATGATTTTGAAGAAATAGATTAGTCTTTATTATTCTTTGAAAATAAAATTTCATAATTTGAAACTTTCTCGTGAAATATCAAGAAGTTTTACTACTGAAATTAATATAAATCTAACAGGTCTACGACAAATAAAATGCTATTTTTCAGATTTCGTGATAAATGTTAGAACTACGCTAAAATTTATGCACATGTTCCGTTTAAATTACAATTTTCATGTTACTACACTAATTTTCACCAAAAGTTTATGAATACACACAACAATATTATACTGAATAAACCATCTTTTATTTTTATGTCATTTTTATTTACAATGTATTATCACAATTCTACCATTGTCAGTTTTTCAAATAATTTTCATTCTGTTTTGAATTTTCTGTAGATTTTTTTTGGTGTATGTAGATTTAAAAACACAATGATAAATTACACATGATGATTTTTTAAAATGCATGTACTAAATAAGATTTTTGATAGAAATTCATGTTCAATTAAGAGAAACGTATATATACTTTTTCACGGCATTAAACATGAACTATGTTCAATGTGTAAAATATTGCTTCAAGTTTCTATTCATGTTAAAGAATTTATGTTATAATGAAATAACACAATAAAAACAGTAATGATACTGACTTTATCTGCTATTTGCTTGTATGTGATGATTAATGCATTTTTCAGTTACGATATATAATCTCACGTGAATATTTATAATATGAATATAATAGTTTCAAATTACTTTCTTCTATTTAAACGTAAAATATTAATTTATTAATCTGCTTTAATGCTATTGATTATTATATTCTTACATAAGTCTAATTATGTATGATCATAGCAATATTTCTAATTTAGTACTACTGGTATATATCGTATTCATTTTAATATATTATTTAAAATAATAAAATAATAGGCCTATATGTTTAAAATATGCAAAATTCTTCAAAATATTGTCTTTCGTGTAAATTTCTAATAACTTTGTTATATATAATATTTTTCATAGTTTAATCATATATTCCAAAAGTATTTGTTTAATTAAAGCGATGATCAATAATCAAGCTGAGACAATTTGACAAGTTCATTTTATTAATTTATAAGACAAAATTTTCGAATAAAACTAAGATAAAACGTGTTTAACATATTAATATATACCGGTACATATAATACTTAGCTTGAAATCGTCACGACACCTTTTCCATGAAAAAAAATAGAGGCACCGGAA